TCTATACGTTCGGGTGACCGAGCAGCTTTCGTGGATTCCTCGAGAATAAATATATCTGAGCCTAGTCCCATACGAGTGCTTGCGGTCCCCCTCACTTGGAATTTTCTTTGGTTTTATCGAAATTTTGGGACGGAGCACTCGTGTTATTTTTTTTTTCTTTCGGGATTTTCCCAGGAGTTCTGAGGATTTTCTTTTACTTGAGTCTCTTTCGTTGATTTTCTCGAGTTCCTCCGCTTTTCTTCGGGTTTCCTGGACGACGTTTCTTTCGGGATTTACTTTTTGAGATGCATTTAGGTTTGCTATGCTTAAGGGACAACGGATTTCACCGGCATACAAGTTTGCTTTACATTTTACAGTACTTAATTTTCCTGTTTCTACTTGCTACTGTTCTTCCTGTGTAGCATATTACTCCTGTTCCTACTTGTTACTGTTCTCCATGTACAGCATATTACACTTGTCATGTTTCTACCTGCTACTGTCTTTCATGTATAGCATGTTGTACTGCTCCTGTTTTACTTACTACTGCTCCACTTGCATGCTACTGTTCATTCTGTTGCACGCTTTACACCTTTACAACTTTAAACATGTTTACCCTTTTTTACATAGGATGTTTAGAGGACTACGACCATAGGGCCGTTTGATTTGATAATATAACCGGACACCCTAGAAAACTTAAACTCGTCACGTCGAGGAGCTTGGAGCTAGCGCGGTGGGCAGCACGACCATCTTCAATAGCAGAACATGTCTTTCCCAGCAAAACCTTTTTTTTTCCTAGAAATTAAACAACAATCCATAGGTTTTCGAGGTTGTTTGCCTAGCGCAACATAAATCCTCCACCTTTTTCTTTAGGCATTCGTATAGCTCTGCCGTACGATTTAAGCCCTAAACTCGTTCTAGGTTCCGAGGTTGTCGCCTGATACGACGTAAACCCTCATATCTTCTAGGCAATTTGAGTGACCCTGTCACGCAAATATAAGCCCTAATTAAATAAAATTGGCGGGATAAAACACTTTAATATTTTCTTCTCAAAATTGGAGCCAAATCATAGGATAGACTGGGAAGTCACTGAGGTTCCCCTCAAGATCTGTGGCTTCCCCTAGTTTCTCTTCATTTGGATTCCTTAACAATGTTCCAGATTTGAGCCTTTCCCCTTTCACACCTTCTTCGTCCGATTTCGTTGAAAAGTCCTATCCTTTTGACCTCTTTGAAGACATTATCCCCTGATTTTTATCGAGAGTTTTCTTAGGTGACCTCGGTCATTTGAGATGTAATTAACTATAGGGGCTTGCCCTTATAGGGAGCTTTTCCGAACCCAGCTTAAAATAAACCCTATTTAATTATTTGTATTAAATAGGGGAACTTGTCGGCAAATAAAATGGTTTCGCAGACCCAAACGGACGTCATATCTTTCTTAGTTTATTTGATCGAGCCTCACCCTCAAGTCTTGTGTTTATCCCTCGGGATAGATACAGGATTTGAGGTAGAGCGCTCTTTCATTTAAACTGTGAAAAATATGAGGTCAGTTTGATTTCATATTTTTCTAAAATTATATATATATACGTAAATTAAAAA